TACTGAGCAACAAAATGGTAAGTCTTAGAAATGTTTGGGATTTTCTTTCACTAGCATACTGTGAGAAAGAAATACACTATGATTTAAAATATACTTAGTACCCTCACTGTCAGCTCACCAATTTCACCATGAAAAAGGAAAAATTAACTGTATTTGCACAAAAATTGTGCCAAAAATAATGATTTGCCATGCTACTTGGGAAATAATATCCAGTTTTCAATTGTCTCAAAAATTTTCCCAGACATTTATATCAATGAAATTGACTATTCTTGTTTTCAGAAATTTTCACTTTCTCTTCTAGTTTTCTAATCTACTGCATTTACTCAATAAAAGATTCAGTGGCATAACTTTCGCCGGCCCTGCAGGGGCAATTACCTGGGGCCCCTGGACACAAAGGGCCCCAAAAGCAAATTTTTATTTTTGCCTCACTGAACACAATTTCAATGCACCTTCTGAAAGTGATTTGTTTATTATTCTAAATCGATTAGTATAAAGTTTGAATTTCGTATTTTATGGTGAGACTGCGAGGATGTTTTCCAAAATTGTAATATGAAATCCTGAGGCCTCCCATTACTTCATTTCAAGTTTTAAGGGGCTCTTTTCTGGGTTTCATGACCTGTGATTTGAAACATTTCATTAGAACATGAAGGAAGGTTCCAGTTAAACGATGCAAATGTAGCTCTCATGGTGATTCCTCCCTGAGGCTCCCTCTAAAAATATTAAAAATAAAATCATTGCATATTGTCTACAGAGAGTAAAATGATAAACTCGTTAAAAGCGAACTTGAGTGATGTTTATTTATTTATAGATGTTATAGATAAGTTTGTCAAAGCGAAAGCCCTCAGGACTTAATTCTGAATTTTCTGATTAATAAATTTTCTTTCAATTACTTTTCAGCACGCTCTATTCAGTTGAACAATATTTTTGGAGGTGGGTTACCATTTAGTTTTTGAACTGGGGCCCTGGAAGGGCTAGTTACACCAGTGATAAGATAAATCGTTAAATTAAGCCTTGTCGGTTGGGATGTCTTTATACAGTCTTTCCATATAAAGAAATACGAATTCTTGTCTTGTTAGAAAAAAAGCTGCTAAGGTGATAACTAGGAGACTGATTTTAATGAAATGTCTTTTTTTTTAACATTAGAACAATGCAATTTAGTATAGAAATTCATTTCACGTTACGACAAAAGGAAATGACTCATTTTTACATGTCATTTTCTAGCATTTTTTGTTGACTTCATCTAATAAGTCATTTTTTACCATTCACCGTCATTTTTAAAGCATTTTTTGGTGATTTCATTAATTTTAATGGCACTTGCTTCAAATAAGATATACGAGATGTTCTCTACAGAATTCGTGAACAGGCTATTCGATTTTTTCATTCATATATTGTAATGTGAGTACTATGTCAACTGAGGTTCCTGTGATGCCTATTGGTACCATTGTCAGTTCCGTCGATTTCACGATAAATAAAGACAGATGTCCTTGTAAAAAGCAGTCCAAACCAAAAGTTGGCTGAGTTTACTTGAACAAACCTAACGTAAAAACGAAGTGTTACCAAGATTTTGTGACACGATGATCGACGAGGGCGAGTGCACACGCGGTTCAAAACGACCGACCTCGATACGCGGACGCCCACAGTGCAAATCTGCCTTTTTTAAGAGATGGGAAAGACAACATTTGCATAGATAGAAGTAAGCGTTCGACCTCAGACCACATAGACGGAATAATAATTTTTAAAAAAAGATCTTAGCAAAAAATTCCCAAACAATGGTAAATTCGCTTTCTTCCGTGTTACTCGCGGAACGGAGACATGGATTCACAGTTCACAACAGTTCATCACGCGAATTTAAATTAAATGGTTGTTACAGAGCAAGAAGTCACGAACACGTGTGCCTCAGAAAGAAAATCTGGTTAGAGAAGCGAATGTTCTTGGGACCCCTTCCCAGCCACCACTCAGCAGCACTTCCAGGTGGCGTTATAAACTGTGTAGTGGAGCTGCTGTGGCAAACTCCCGCCACCAGCAGCGCAGACGCGCGTCCGCGCCACTAGCAAAGTTCTACCAGCAAAGTTCTAAATAGCAACGCCACTGAACCTGTTCTTGCCTGCAGCCTGGCTTTCGGCCGCCTGTGCCCATAGCGGTGGTACTCACGAAACCTTTCTCGTACGCGATGAGCTGTCTGAAGGGCTGTCCTAGGTGAGTCAGATAAAAGATTAGGGACGAAAATTCAACATCCAAAACGTTCGGGGGGAGGGGGGGGGTAAAAATTCAGCAAAGATGAAGATGGAAGTGTCACATTGACGATTGTGATTATTACTTTGAAGAATGAGAAAATGGTGATAACGCGTCCATTTTATTTTGACTAAATAGTAAGAATTAGTTTGAAAATTATATAAGATCTTTACAAATTCAAGGGGTTGTCTTATATTTAAGTGGCATACTTGATATTTAGGTTTTTAGAGTTTTAGAAAATAAATACAGAATTGAAAGATAATGCTTCTTATAAAAATCATTCATTTTCTACCTCTTCAAAAAAAAAACATTGTCATGTGATGACAGAAGCTTCTGCAGCCTGTCATGGGAATGCTCATGTCCAAGGGACGCCCTATTATACCGAAGTGTCAACGTATCGTGATCATTTACATTCCCATGTGTTGAAAACGCATGAAACATAAAACCAGAAACACAAATCATAACCAGAAAATATGTAACCAGAGACTTTAATGAAGTTTCATCTTAAATTGCTTAAAATAAAATTACTTGTGTTTCTTGACTGAACTTTCCAACAATATTTCTTTAAGTCAATTTTCTGCTCTTGGAATAGAAAAGTAACAGAACATTTCTTCACAAACAGATTTCTACCACATGTAAATGATTTTAAAAAAAAAACAACAACAGGAAATCTTATATCCATCTCTTTAAAATACAAATAAATTTTCAACCAAGAAATACTTGGAGACAGATTAGATAAAAAATATGAACATGTAACACACAAAGACCTACATGTGAAACAATATTTAAGGAAATATTAAGTAAAAATCCAGAAAATTGAGAAGAAATTAAGGAAATCTTCAAGACGACCAAAGAAGTTTTTTAAATGAAAAAACAAAGAAATTATTTCTTCACATGAATAGCGGATTTAGTATGTTATGAAGCACTCGGAAAAAGACAAACAGCTTGACAAAAAAACAACAACAAAACTGAAGATTAAAAAAATAAATAAAAAAATAATAATAATAATAAAAAAAGAAGAAATCACGGAATAAACATTATAAATTCATGAGGAAAAAGAACAAAAGTTGTGATAAAAACCAATTAAATAAGATTTTAAAAGAAATAACATAAAAGACTTTTTTTTGTTGTTGTTGAAGATTTTCAATAAAACCTTAACCCTTCATTGGTATCATGAATCTTGGCCATACAAGCTGACCAAAGCCATAGAGACAATCTTATTAATATTGTTTTCTGGGATATGAATTGTTAAGTTATGAAACTAGAGGTGCAAGATATCCTAAAACAACTTTCCTTACAGATTGTATGGAAAGTCATTAAATTAAAGGTGTTTCATCTTTGTAAGCACCCTATTTTTGAATTTCTATAAATCTGCATGGGTGGAATGAGATCTTTATGAAAAGGGAACTTTGTTGAAAATACTAGCAGTATTTTATTGGTATAAATTGAAATTATGAGCTAACAATTGTTATAATATAATATGAAGAGAAAAATCACGAGCCTGCTATTAAATCATAAAAATTCACAAGCATGTAAAAGCAGTATATGACACATGTTAAAATTCTGCCTAAATTCTATTTCTTTATAATTTGCAAAGTTGGTATGCAGATATTTATATTTATCAAAGTATAAATGTTAACTAGAATTTCAGTAAAGATATTCAATAAATTCTCCTTCCAAAAATTAATTTTCACTCCCTGTATCATGATCACTGTAGTTGGAGCATCACTGCGACTGCTGCCTGCCTCTTCAAGCTACCGTTCAAGCTTGTCTACAATGGTCAACATTTCCCTCCCATTTGGGTACACTAAAGGCACTGTCTTAAATTTTTCACATGACAATTATAAGTCTAATGTTGAAGGTAATGTCGTATCTCCAGTGACCCTATCCCCACTCTGTAAGGACAAATCAATTTTCTTTCGAAATTCTGAAACGTTTCTGATCATAATTATACAGAGTAAAAAATTAGATAACAGCACAGAGAAATTGCTATGAAACTGCAATTTAAACCAAAAATGAATTCCTCTGGGCCAAATGCAACCTCACAATACAAGTTAAGGGTTAAAAAGACACACTGCTCCACGATTACTTTTTGAAGACCAAAATTTCAAAATATTATATAAAGAAAACTGAGAAAATTTGCCTAACTACTTTGAAAAGCTACTGTATAATAAAAGGCCAAAATCAGAGATTGCTTCTAACAGAAATCTTCTTCCCAGATTCTCATCCTCCAACTTGAAAGAAATAACTAAATATCTCCAAAACAATGAAACTTCTGGAGACTTGACCACTTTTGAACTTTGAAAATAATCAAATGCATTATCATCACTACACCCACTACTGCACAAGAAATGTGACAAAACTCATGTCAACAATTATACACTCTTATCCCTCTTGTCTGTAACTGATACTATTCTCTAAAACACTAAGCAAAACAGAGCAGAGAGACCACTTCACTTGCAAATCAATAAATATAAAAGTTACTTCAGGAAAAAAAGATCATCATGTATAACAATAAAACTCATCCTAATGGCTACAAAAGATGCAAACTTCACATTGATGACATGCAACACAATTTTATGCCAGACAGATTGAAAAAATGAATTGCTGTTGGTATTTGTGTGATTCAATAATAAAACATAAACCAGTCTCATCATTACTAATGAATTTCTTTTTGTTAACTTCTAATTTAAATAAATATGCACCAGTTGACCTATTAATAGGAATAGATATTTAATAGGAACAGTAATATAAAGTTGGATTTTTCTCTCATCTTTTTCACTTAAAAAAAAAAAAGGTATCTAAAAAAGGTTAAACAAATATTTCAGAAAATCATGAAATTTCTTCATCTTTTAAATGTTATTTTCATTTACCATTTACAGAATATCCTCAGCTACAGAATTGGTTGTACAGCAGTAAAATCATGAGATCATGATATGATCAAAGTCTTAAAGCACGGTTTCAAGTTGAAATATTGTCATTTGAAGTCATCCTCCCCCCCCCCCTCAACATGAAAAATACCACTTTTACTAAGCTGTTATTATGATTGTCTCTTCAATTTATGTAAGACCCGAGCAATTTCATACATCATCAAGAGTTTTTCACAACAGTACACTTTACTTACAGCTTACTGGTTCCAAAGATCAAAATTGCTAACAGATAAGTCTGTAAATTTTACTTGACATCTTCAGCTGACAGGAGAATTATTATTGCAACAAAATTATAATTTGGTGGTTATGAATTTAAAAACTTGCTTCAAATGCATACAAAAAAAGAAGAAAACATTCACAAACATCTTTTAGATTACAACTGCAAAATAATAACATAATTGATCACACTTCAATCTTTATACATTTTCTGAACTAAATAATGTGACTATGAGAACCCTTTTCAATGACCATATCTCCCATCTTTAATCAAGATAAAAAGATGTGGATGGCTGAAAATGGGAGAAATTTCGCTCTAAAAGAACTAACTTCTAAACATTTTAATTGTTTAGTGGAAATTGCAGATAAAAGATCGATTGATTTATTGTAGATTCAAAATCCCTCAAACTTGTTAATCACATTAAAGAATTTTAACAAGAATCTACAGTGAGGAATTGAATTTTTCAGAACAGAAAGAAAACAGAACTTTATAATTTTATTCTCTCAATTTAACACAAAAAAACACAATCACAACCAAAATACACAAGACCTAAGCTGTGTCTGAATTGATATGCAATTTCATGCAAATATTTATTCTTGCAAAATTCATAATAAAAAAAAAAGAAGGAAGTAAATTTATCTCTTTAACAGAAAGGAGATTGGTGCCTAATATCTGATCATTCACGTTCACCTGAATTGAATTCTTTATACATTTTCTCAATTTAAGTACATTATTTCGCCCCCTTTCATAATTAGCATTTTATTTGATTGAAAACACGTGCTCTACCTAGAGATGAAGTAGGGCACACTTAGCACACCATGTTCCTGCACAAGTGTTCCTACCAGAAGTTAACAATGAATCTTCACCTTCTGACACCGACTACCTAGCAATTTTCAGCCTTTCCTTTAATGTACAGTTCAATCATCATAGTGAATGTATTATGCATGAAATCATGCCAACACAAAGGCACATAACTTACAAACTTTCAAGCTTACATTGTAATTAGTATTAATTTACTTTAGCCACAACTGCACCAAAATGCAAAAGGAATAGTATAATATCAGGTATCTGAATTTGTTAAAACTGAAATTTTATAAAAGGAATGTATTCCCAAAAATATTCAATAAATAGCCGTTTTTAACATCTTGAAGGTCATTACTGCAATTAAGAGCACATAAAATATTCAAAAGTCATTAATTTTTTTTCCTATGAAGATATAAATGGAAAAATGAAGGCACTATAAAAGCAAACACATACCTAAAATTGTATTGGAAAAAGTAGAAGGGTAGGAGTAAATTTAACATACATGTAACATTACACATATATAAAAGAAGTAAAAAATTTGGATTTGATCTGTTACACCTAAATTGACAATAGTTCCTGATGATATAAAAAAGATTGCATTGCAGTGTTCTGATAGGAACAACAAAAATTTATTTTAGGCACATATCTATTCAGAAATAGGTCTTAGTCACTAATTTTTTCAGAAAAAATTTTGAAGATTTCATAATGAAACTAAAATATCAGCAAAATAAGCCAGAATTAGTATTAAAAATCATACAATACAATGTCAGAAGCTAAGCAAATAAATATATACACTCAAACATAAGATGAACGAACATGTACAGTCTAGTAACACTACCTCTCAGATAGTCTGGTAATTCCATATGAAAATACAGAATCTCTGCGCCTGCATAACACTGGTAACTTGACTAATATGTGATGAACAAGGCAAATAAAAAATGACAATACATCAGTTCTCTCGGTGCCTAGAGAAAGTATAAAGAAAATTCATCCCATCACTTAGCGAGATGTACATTTTGTGAAGTAGCACATCTTAATAACTTCAAATTAAGATACTACTGGTACAACTAGTAGCAAGATCATAGCTTTCAACATTGTTGCACAAATGATCACAACAATGTTAAAAATGATAATTCAGTGAAACTTGCTTTATGGATACAGAGGATATAACATTTTTATTCCCTGCGAGGGACATTGAATTCTCACATGCAAGGCAAGGTAGGTGTCACAAGGTCAAGGTTTTGTTTTTACAATATATGGTTTAGGCATGACTCCCTGTTTTGAGTTTCACTGCCAACATTTTGAATACAAACGCAATATATCAACATGTCATTTCAATATATTCACATATAATTTCCTGCTCAATGTGTAGTGAAATAGTTTTGGGTAACTAACATTTACAATTTTCTTTCAATTTATATTTAGCCACTCAACCTACTGACAATCTTGAAAAGCAGTTAATGGCAATGTCTCATATGACATAGTGAATTATTATACAAAAACAGAATGGCATTTTGAAGTACATGTGCCACTGACATTATGCAAAAAATTTTATGCATAGATAAATGATATGTGACCAATAGGGAGAAATAATTAAGAATGGAATACTCTATACAAAAGAATATCAAAGAATATCAGGGGTGTTTGAAAAATATCAAATTTACTATGCTAATCAACTTCTCAACTGTAGCAGGATATAAAAGACCTGAATGTATACACAATGTAACAATTTTTTTTAAAAAAAGGTAGGCTTTATTCAGAGGTACAGCCAATAGATTGTAATGTGAATATGTCTGAACTTGTAATTTTAAGTGGTTTTGAAACATATGATAGCATTCATGTTTAACATGACTTTGCACATAGAAAGTTGCAAATTAACATAATACATGGCAGATAAGTTTTAAACCTATGCTATAAAGCTTGTGCCACAGAAACATTGCGTTGACATGTGTCACCTAACGCTGATGACGTCAGCTGAGTCAATGCCTGTGCACACAAGTCACTTATCGAATTTGAATCTTATATTTGGGTTGTTTAAATTTCCGAAAAGCCACGTATCCCTCATGAAAAAACATGTAGACATATTCACATTAAAATATATTTGAAAATGAAACACATTTAAAAAACTAATTAATTGTTCTGCTGACATTGCACAAAAACAAAAAATGAAAAGAACAGTGAAAGGATTGTCTTCGCAGATGTACGCAAAATTCACCTTCATGTTCAGCGAGATTCTGCTGAAGACAAGATTTTTATTTTCACTTCACCATAAAAAACATGGCATATTATTGTGAATTCAGAGACAAGAATCTAAAATGAATTATCCAATTCTCCTAGGACTCTGAAATCACTGAGATGGGAAGACTTAATTCAGACAAAACAAACCATTCAATATTAACAACAATTCTAATTGTGTTTCATACTAAAAACACACATTCAAGAACAAAATTTACAGCATTATTTGCTGAAACACATTTTCACTACGCAGAATGTTTGGAGTACCTGATTAACGTAGTATAAACAAATGTAAACGCATGTAACAAAAAAGCAAAAGTCATTTATCAAGGTTTTTCAAAAACCAAGGGTACTATTTCATTACATTTTGACAGACATTCAAAAGCCAAACCACTACTTCTTTTGAGAAGCACTTATTTTACTTCTGAAATTAAAACCAGAAGAAGGAAGTTCTATTCTTCTGAGGAATGTGCCCTACATCATTCAGTTGAAACGGCCAGACAAGTACTAGCAAGCACCTGTGAATTATCTGCACAGCATGCAATGTCTCAGACTTTACAATGAGCAATACAAGGATGATTCTAGTGCATACACGTGAGCTACCAAGACAGTAATTTGGCTTAGACACAAGACATAAAGCAAGTCACATCCGCAACTGTACATAGGATAGCTGAAAACAGTCTACTGAATGCATTCAACGATATTGCAGAAAGCTGCAATGAATGTGTAACAATTGAATTGTTGCTCTAAAAATAAAATAAAAAAATTAAAAAAAGAATTAGAGCTCAAACATGCAGTTGCATACATTAAAAATTTCACAAGTATTCAATGCATTTCAAACACCCCTTGTATACAATGATGGCAATCAACATACTACAAAATATGTCTCTTTATACGATCTATATAGAACATACCGTGTTTCTTTATATCATTAATTTTTGGCAAATTCACATAACTACAAACAACACATCACAATGTTGCCAATACCTGAACTACCTTCCGGTAAGTGAAATTTCAAGGCCGTAGCTACAGCAAGGGCTGAGATACACTTGTAAATCTATAGTCTATTCCAGTCCATGGTCCCACAGCACTTGAATTTCATAAACCCATTTTAATAGTTTCGTATCTACACCCATCCGAGTCAGTGGCATTCAGGTTTTTACGTTTTTAAAATAAATAATACGCTACAAACTAACACTGTTTAAGGCATATTTAAATAAAGTTTTATATTCGTAGTTTCATCTCCTAATACCGTTCTGTTCGTGATTCCAGGACACACTGTTCACCATCACACACAGTCCAATCCATAAGGCATAGGAATGGTGAGCCATAATTTTTTTGACATTCCTGAACCCGGACATGATTAAATTGTCCAGGAAAATAAACTCACCCCGTTTCAAACACTGAATTGAATTATTCCAAGAAATTCTCTGCCCAAATTCTTGGTATTCATTACATCTTCAATGATGAATTAATAGGACCATGATGGAGATTTTTGTAGTGATTTTCCCTTTCAAATTTTTTTCAATCCACATTATCTTGAAATATAAGGCGAACATAGCCTGGTGAACCACTCAATGGTGTGGCACAGAATGGACAGACAGCATCAAATCCATTTGTCCCATGAGGTATGGGGACATTAACCCAGAATCTGTAATAAAAAAAACACACTTTACAATCAATTCTAATCACATAATAACAAGCGTTGTAAGTTTCTTCTTTCATTTGTTATTCAAGCTCAAAATAACTTTACCAGAAACAGAAAGTGTAATCTGCAAAAGTAAGAATTTCTTTCACTATCCATTTAATGTAAAATTTTTACTAAAAGAGAAAGTTGCAGAATTTTAAGACACACATTTAAGTTCCAACAAAATTAAACTTGAAATGTACTCATAAATCTTAATCTCAAAATGCTGTATTAAAAGTTCAGGCTGAAGTAAATGATGTACATATGTGTTTAAATCAAAAATTGAATTTTATTACTTAATGTGTACATGTAAATATTATAAATTATATTCTTAAAATACTTGGAAATAAATCTTGGATAAACTGTCAAAACATAGTGGCGAAGCTCGACTTTTTTTAAAGAAGAAATCGCAAGATTTATTAAATATCTTAGCCTTCCTTTCGGTAGAGACTGGCTTTTACACACTCAAAATTACACTATTTTTCTGGTATTATTCGTCCACATTCTTTGCAATAAATCTTCTGAACTCTGTAAGGCTATATTAAAATTGAAATAGAAATTAAAATTGGTTCAGAATTATACGGATTCATAAATTCTGTGCCAAGGACATTAGTTGAAGTCTAAGATTGAGGTAGGATTGAATTAAAATTTATTTAATTCTGATCAATACAATATGAAATATTCTGATTTTGTAAAGCAACAAAATCCAACAGAAACCCAAAACTTATAGGAGGCAACTCTTGAAAATAAAAGGTGAGACCAACAACAGTTTTGACCCTCACTTCCACAAAGACACTTGTAATCCTCACAGCTAGACACCATAAAGTGACTGTTGTAAATTATATTTCATAACTTTAGCTGACAAATTTAATAATAAAGGACAGGGTCAGCCTCTCTACACAGTCAAAATCTTCTCTTCAATTTTAAGTGAACCAGTATGGTTTTGTTGTTCATTTGTTTGTTTAAACCAATATATAATAGAATCAAGTTCCTCCAGAATGCATGACAATAAAACCCTAATACAAATGAATTGTACCAGTGCAGAAGAATCAGGAAACACTAAAAAAAACACACACACAATTTTTTCTTACATGTTCAGACTGTGAGTTTTAATATTGTTGGGCTATTTTTTGTTGGGCATGACAGGAAACCATCTAATATCAGAGATTCTCCTACCACAACAATGAGTAGGGCTACATATTTCCATGTATCAGAATATGAACTACTGAAGTCTAGTCACCAAAGACAGGGAGGAGCTCCCAATTTGATGCACTAATATTAGCTAATTCTTTGCAATCTTCTCATCATTTTATGGCTATTTTATTGTCTGTTTTTTTAATGACAGTCCAAAAGTGTAAATATATCAACTAATTATGCAACTATTTTTTAAAATATTTATAAAACAATTTTTTTCTTGGTAGTTAGCATATCTATCGATGACCAAATGCCTTGCTTCTGTGAAACCATGTTCATTACTCTAACATACTCTGTTGTAATATAGACCTAAAGTTGAATTTCCTACCAAGAGCTAGAGTCATTCATGAAAATTAAAGAATCAAACTAATCAATACAGTATACTCCTGTGAAGGCAATGATACTTTTCCTGTCGAAAATTCACCTTTTCCCCCTGCAGCATAACAAAACTTTCTCTGTACCACACAAGCAGTTGGTGAGAAAGTAAAAAGCACTGAATCATGTAGAACCCGATTCTAAATACTTCCCTGCCTTGTGATTTATGAAACCCTTGTTTATAAACAACTAACAATGACAGGCTTGCACAGATGTACATCCAGCCAGTAGATAGGCACCCAGATGCACAGATAGGCAGACAGTCGCACACACAGAGAAGTAGGTTGACACATACAGAGAGCTGAACAGAATCACAGAGCCCACTATAGGGAATCAAAGCCCAGCTGATGGACAAAATGCCGCCCAGCAGTCTAAAAGCCTACCTGACTGAACGACTGACAGACTAAAAGTCTGACACGAATTGAAAGAAAAATAACATTTTTAGGTAACAGCGACCTCTAAAGTTTGTATTCCCTTTTAAATGTTAAAAAACAATTATTTTATAACACAAACAATTATTTACAAAAAAAGTAATAAGACATACCCACTCCCCAAAACACTCCACATATTTAATTCTGTACCTGATTCAACCATCAGTAGAACATATAATGACTTACTTAACAGTTTTCTCAGTTGCCATGTGCCCACAAGGATTGAATGCAAATGTTGGTGGTCCAATATCTACATAAAATGCAGGTTCAATGCCCATACAAAGTTTTACAACTGGGCCCATCTAGAACAAAAAAAAAAAAAAAAAAAAAATAGAATTATGAGATGAAAATGGACTATTGAATTTCATTGGAAACAGATGATGTAAACACTATCAAATAGAATAGAGACGTGTGTTGCTTCATTGGGGACAGCCCACATTTTTCGCAAAGTATTATAAGAGGCACCAATAGTCCCTAGATCTGCTTCTTAAGAAGCTCGTTGCAACCCGGAGTAGACATTATAATCAACAGACTAATCACAGCTTTGGAACCCCAGGAGATGAAATTCACAAAATGCCAAATTAAATGCAAGCAGTAGGCAAAAATTTAAATACATTGGTTTTGGAAAATAGATATACTAGTATTAACGTTAAAAACAAAACATACCACCACATTCTTTGAAACTACCAGTTTCATTAAGTCAATACATTAAAATTATAAAACATTAGTCTTCAAATATTCTATTGAAAAAAACTTAAAATTACAATACTAAGAATATGGCACATTACATATCATGAATAACAATACACCAAATCAATTCCTGTAAAGACATCAATAGAAGCCACTGCCTTAGTAGTAGTGGCTACTTAAAGAGTAAAATTTCAACATAAGAAGGCTTCAGTCTCTTAGCCACTCTTTTTGAACATGCAGAACATGGAGCCTAGGTCTCCTGGTGGTGAAGAGTAGAATGAAAATAATTCATTTCATTTTCATTCCTTTTTATGTAAAAAATAGGTTGAAAACTATTATTTAATGTTGGCATTGCAACAATGTAACTACAGGTGCCTTTTTTAATGTAAAAACCACTAACAAGTTGTGAGTGGGGGGGGGGAGTAGAATATCGAGTTGTCATTACAGGTAAAGTATCGGAGCATTTTTAAAATTTTGTAATTTTCACATTCCTGAATCAAAATTGGTGTTGGGAAAAATGATTGTATTTATGCATGGGATCTATTCAGAAAGCGGTATGCTGATTACCGTTTGAGGTTTACATAATGAATTTATAAGAATTTTTAAAAAACTACAAAAATATTCTTAATAGCCATTCCTAATTCTTTTACCTTAAATGATGAAATTAAGACTTTAAAAGACAATATTTTGCAACAATATCGCAATATCTAATTTTGAAACATCAATTCAATTTTAAAAATAATTTTCTTGCCATTCACAACCACTTTAAGTGTTTAATTAGTGTACATACAGATGTTTTTAACAGCTTGATTATAACACACGTCTTTCTATTAATTTGAAGTAACTTTTTTTAACAATAGAAAAATAATTCTTTAAAACAATGGGGTAAATTATTATCTTAAACCGTATGGTTCATTGTCTACTTTTAATTTTTTCAACAGTAAGATTTATGAATAAATAAACAACTATATAACAAATACAATGCATACAATTACCTCTAAACAAATAGGACATCGCCTGCATTCAGAATCTTTTTCCTGTCCCCAGTCATGGTGACCTTGTACATGTCCACAGTTGAGATATACATATGGTTGCTGCTTCTCATTTACACTGTCATTTAAACTTAATGTCATTTTTCTCGGAATGACAAGAGTATTCAAACCAACAGGACATTGTGGTCGTCCAGCATTTAATTCATCCACTAGTGTTTCTAGAGTGTGTTTTGTCTGTAACAAATAATTACAATACATTGTACATAAGGAATGAAATCAAAATTTATATTAACTAGTAGTGCTACATCATGTACTTTCTCACAGTATTTGTAATGGTTACATAATATTTTAATACAAATATGTATGTATTACAATATTTTTGAACCCATTGAGATTTGTGTACCTAGGTTTAGGAAGTTATGAATGTATCCACTAAATCAAAGAGCCCAAGCTGCATAAACATCCCAACTCTTTAAAAATTAAGTTGAACAGGTGCAGTTCGTATTTCAAAACTTTTACATGACATTATTAAAAGTCTAATTTCCAGAAATAGAATTCATTGATAGGAATAATACCTATCTTTAATATTGGTTGTGTACAAAGATGCTGAAAAAATGTTTAACAACTGCAATTTTTGGAAATTCTAAGATCAACAAAAATCAGACCTGCGCCATTTTTAAAAGCATAATTTGCTCAATCCCAGAAAAGAAATTAAAGAAAATAATTGGAGCCATTTTTTGAGGAAAGATTCAAAGGATCTTTGAAGCTATATGTAGGCCACATCAATAGGGGAATATCAATTTTGGAGAACATCCTGTAAATGGTTTGGGCACTAGTGGTGTCCAGGGCATTTTGTCGTAAAATAACTTTTACGTATTAAGGAACCACAAAACATGGATTCTCACTATTCAATGTACTAGAGGAAAGAATTTACAACATAAAAACAAGAATTAATCACTTTATTAATATCAGAGTCTACCAAAATGAGATTTTCTGCAAAAATCCTTGACTTTTCGCAGCAGCATTACAATACTTTCTCTTCACTACGTAAGTATGTATTAGGCAGGAAAGTAAAAATGTGTAATATTTAAGCAACCTTATTGGGAAATCTAAAAACACAGTTATATTGTAGGCTTATTTACATTGTATCTAGAACACTCATTTTTTGGTAACCAACAACTACGTTGCAAAACATAATCAGAATACAAATCGATAACAAAATATGAATTTAGACCCACAAAATAATGCTGATAAAAACTAGTACACTTTCTCACATTATTTC